TTTAAACAATTCTCCTAACTCATCACACCAAGAATACTTAAAATAGACAAAGCACAAAAGTGTAACATCTTCACCTCAAGATTTAACTTATAAGTACCATGCATTATTCACAACTCACCCACTTACTCTAACATAGAGGTCATTGATATTACCTTTCCTTCATGAATCAAGTGCCCTCACACAACAAAAGAGAGTAGTTCCACACAATAAAATTTAAGAACACTTAGGAACTCAAGATAGAAAGAATTCACTCACTCTCAAAAATAACATTCATATGCCACAAAAGATGTACCATAGGCTTGCCTGTAGTGTACTACTCTACTAATCGAGCTCATTCAATCTAGGATCAAGTAGGACTTTATTTGGTTGTTATGTAGGCTGCGGGACGGGTAGGATACATTTAGATATAAAAGTGACTACACCTCCCTAAGCACTTTAATACATATACTTTAACATTCAAAGCTCATACTTATGTCAAACCAAACTCCACCTTCACATCAATGTATATTACCCTATACTTCTTTAAGCATAATTACATCAAGAGTCACTACTTATCAAGGAATATTTTTTTTCCATAGAAATACAACTATTTTATTTTTCTTTTCTTTCTTTTTCAATTCAAGTGGCTCTTACTTTTTTAAAACAGTGCACATTTCTCCTTATTTCATTAGTTCCACTCAAAAGCCAAACCATCCACCCCACACTTTAACTTTTACACAATTCATAATAATTCAAGTGCTCATGAGAGGTTAAAAGGTTCAAATAGATGGTTAATTCAAACAAATGGGTAAGGCTTGTAATGTGATTGCCAAAGAAACAGGATTGCAGGCTCAAATGGGTTAACTACGATACATAATAATTAGGCGGGTAAAATATATATATGGCTCAACAAAGAAATGCCTATATCACTTCCAAGACTGAACAAAACTACTATTTCGCTTTGCAAACACACGGGGTAAGTTCTAGGCATCAAATGTAATGCACAGAATAACACCCAAACCTCACACACACATGGCACATAACTCACTCAGGATTGGATTCATCAAGACACTCTAGTCAAAGCAGTTAAGCAAATTTAAAATCATATAATTTAAGGTACTTATACAAGAGTCAAGAACTGAGCTTAAGCGTTACAACCAAAGTACTCACTATTCTCAAGGCATAACAAAGGCAAGAGATATTGCTTCAATTCAAAACACAACACAATAGCTCCTATTCCTAAAAAAATAAAACTAGCTACACCTGGTTCAAACAAAACCCTTGAAAAAAAACCGCGGCACAAAGAAAAACCAAGGGGGAATTACTACACTACCTACAAAAAAATCTATTTGTCTTTTTTCTTTCGACTTAAATTCCTCAAGAAAAATATCTAATAGATCCATCCTCGGGAAAAGTCCAATCTTTTCTATTTTTGTAAAAAAAAATAAAAAATTATTCAATTAAACTAACACAACTAAAATAGCATGGAAAGTCACCCAAACAATTTCCTCACCCCACACTTAAAATTGTGTATTGTCCCCAATGCACACCCATACATACAAGAGGGTAAAAGAAACTCCCTGGAAGGCCAAAGGCCGACGCACTAGCATCTCATGGGGTACTCAGACTTCTCTCAGGCCTGGTCTTTCGTGCGGGTACCTCACACTTAGTTCCAACCATCTGCTTTGCTGTTGCATTCTTCCAATGGCTTTGCGTTCCATGCTCCTAAAAAATCAAAAACCAACACTACAAAAATAATACTATAGTAAAAAAATAAAAAAATAAAAAAAATAAAAAAATAAAGTTGGGTTGCCTCCCAACAAGCGCTTGATTTAACGTCTCGGCACGACGAAAACTACTTTTTGTCTCTACCTCGATCTTATGAATTGAACCCCAAGTTTTGCTTCAAGCTTATGATTATGCTCTTGGGGCGGTGGAACGAATCTAACAGGCCCAAGAAAATAATGTAGTATTATGCACTCCTTGTCCTTTGTATGAGGTATGTAATCCTGACTTTCTAGCAAGAAGAATTCCAGAATATATGCACCTTGTTCCTCATTCCTTGACTCTTCAATTGGTTCGGATGACTCTATTTCCATATCATCATCCAAACATAATGTGGAAAAATGCTTAGAGTGTGGACCAATGTGCTCAACTACATGAACCTTGGGATTGTCAATATTCTCAACACCAATGATACTAGAGTCAACTAAATATGTATCCTCAATGTCCTTGATTGACTCTAGTATCTCTTCTACAACATCGACATCCTTAAATTCTCGTTTGATTGATTATTGGTGTTCTACTATGGACCCCTCTAGTGGCACCTCAATTTCTGTCTCTAATGCACATTGCTCCTAGCTACTATTCATAGTATTAACATGTTGAGCATTAAGTGCTTCAACTAGTTGACTCATTTGTGCCTCTAGGTTGCGAATAGTAGCATCTTGCCTTTGTATGTGCAGTTGTTTCTCATTATTTTGTCCTATAAGGCACCTTAGCATATCCTTGATCTCTTTCAGGTCATTATCCCTAGGTTCTTTATTCCTATTAACTTCACAAGAAAAAAAAGAACCGTCAAAGTAAGGGGTCGGGGGAAGATAAGAAATATAAGCACAACCATCAAGGTGACCATCTTGACCACCATACATATCACATACATTCCACACATAAGATTGAGTTGGTGCACATAACTCGCTCTCGGAAATATTTTGAAAACTTTGCCATGGGTGGTTTTCTCCACAATATGCATAAGGAGGATTAAAAGTAGAATTACCAACATCAAAACTCTCATAATTCCAAGATGCCATATTTTGTTTTAAAAAAATTAACAAGTAAAACAAAAATAAAAAAAATTCAAATACAGAAAATAAAAATAAAAGTTCAAACTTGAAACCTAGCAATATGTACACCTACAGCTACATCGTTAGTTCTCCGGCAACGGCGCCAAAACTTGATCACGCCCAACTCTAGTCCTAAAAAAGATAAGCGGTCGCTGCAAATATAATTCGGTCTAAAAGTCCGGAGTCGAATCCCACAGAGAACTAAGGCTTAGCTATAGCTTTTTAATATCATTAAGAAGACAAGTTTGAATAATTTTCTAAATTATCAAAATTGAGATTATTATATTTCTAACGAATTAACTAGCAAATACTAGAAAGCGGTAAAATTATCAACTAACGAGACAAAGGTTTGGAGACTAAATTAAGGAGGGCTAGAATTATAGTTTTCCTAATTGCCGGAATCCTTACAGCTATGTTCCCAACAATTTTGCCGATGTATTCTCTACTGATCGTGAGCACTTTTGGTGCCGTAATTCTCTATCGAGCAACTACAACAATTTACTAGACATATTCTCTCGAACTATGCTAGTTGGCTTCATCGAACCGCTTATTATGACCATGTCAAGGCTTTGTTATTTTTAAATCTACTGTATTGATTTCTCACATACGTTAGGAGTGACGTTGTTCAACAACCACCTAAATATGTATCTATTCTCAAACAACACATAATAAATAGGCACAGTCAATCGATGGCCATTCAATCAACTGAAATAAATATGTAGTTGAACAAATAGATAAATTCAAAGGCTAAATTATATTAAAACATAACAAGAATTTATCCTACAAAAGGTTCCATCAAAACCCTAGATAACAAATTAGCTATTCATAATAGTATGCATAACTATAATACTAGAATTCATAACCAATAATAGAAATAGGAAGAAGGAAGTGAGAAACTTGTAGAAGAATTCTCCGCCTTGCTCCTAGTGTATTTTTGCCTCCTTAGGTCGAATCCCCAGTCTCCTTAGCCTCCTTAGGTCTAAATTGTGTCAAAAATATGTCAAAAGTTCTCAAAATACCATTTTTCCATGTATATATACCAAGTAGGGTCGGGCCCAAATAATTATACCCTCTCATACGCGAAAAAGGACACTTTTCCAGGTCAGGACGTCCCCGGCCGCAGATTTTACCCAGTGTTCTGCCTCACATCCGCGGCCAGATCCGCGGCTGCAGATTCGACAACGTTTTTCACCCTGTTCTGTTTGGAATTTGGAAACACCTAAAACATAAAAGTTGTAGCCCTTTGAATTATCCTTCCAACCATATATAGTGGAGACCAAATGGAGTTCTGAGCGAAAGGTTATGTATAGTTTACTAGACAGTGCGCAATATGCCTACTCGATTCTTCGTTCGTTCTTAACTATCAAATTTGAACCCGAACACGATCCCGACTTTATTCCTTGGGCTTTTACTCAGACTTCAAAGCTCCAAATCACTTGAATTCATTCCATAACATCTATATAGCTCGGAATCACTGCTACAGGCATAAAACACATAATTAGTGCAAAATACTAGCGATTAAAGCTCAAAAACAATTAAAGTGCAGTAAATTAGAGTGTAATAAGCGACTAAAATACGTAATTATAGCCTATCATCAACACCCCACACTTAAACCATTGCTCGTCCTCGAGCAATAAAACTACACTTTATATAGACACGACCTTTTTAAACAATTCTCCTAACTCATCACACCAAGAATACTTAAAATAGACAAAGCACAAAAGCGTAACATCTTCACCTCAAGATTTGACTTACAAGTACCATGCATTATTCATAACTCACCCACTTACTCTAACATAGAGGTCATTGATATTACCTTTCCTTCATGAATCAAGTGCCCTCACACAACAAAAGAGAGTAGTTCCACACAATAAAATTTAAGAACACTTAGGAACTCAAGATAGAAAGAATTCACTCACTCTCAAAAATAACATTCATATGCCACAAAAGATGTACTATAGGCTTGTCCGTAATGTACTACTCTACTAATCGAGCTCATTCAGTCTAGGATAAAGTAAGACTTTATTTGGTTGCAATGTAGGTTGCGGGACGGATAGGATACATTTAGATATAAGAGTGACTACACCTCCCTAAGCACTTTAATACATATACTTTAACATTCAAAGCCCATACTTATGTCAAACCACTTGCCCAACGTGTTTGTGATAATGATTTTAGAGTTAGACTGGCACACAATCTTTTAAAATTTTCCAAGTATGAACTTCTGAAGATCTTTCTCACTCAGAGGCTGGACGCTTACTTGGATTTCGAAGCTGCAAATTCAGCATTATTAAAAAGCTATGGTAATTTACTTGCCATTATGCTACTTTGAACTTTGGGCTAGTGTATGAATCAAGCCTTTAATTTGGAGTGGGCTATGCGGCCTGAAACTTCTGGTTAATGTTGTAGGACTTGTCCATGAAGATTGTATATCAAAAATGAGGTTAATGTCGTTGGTAGATCTTAGCTTGAATGGATCTAGTCAAATTCCTTATTCTATCATCAAGGATGCATTGCGGGTATATTTCTTCTCTTATTTTGTTTGTTGATGTTTCTGGGCTACATTTAGCTCATTTGGTCTTTTGCTCTTTTCAGATTGATGACATTGAGGTAGAATCTTGGGTTGTTAAGGCAATTACAGCTAAGTTACTTGACTGCAAGATTGGCCAAATGAATCAAGTAGTAATAGTGAGGTGTGCTTTCTGTAGTCAGCCTCCCTTCACCGTCTCTTCTGCTTCAGCTTGAAATTTCTGTTAACCATTTTCCTGTGATTCGTTATGTGCAACAATTGTTCCTTTATTGTGTCATTGTGCAGCCGATGTACGGAGCGATGTGTTTGGTTGTATCAGTGGCAAGAGCTCCGCTCAAAGCTTACTACTCGGAGGGTAAATAAGATATTCTTTCCCAAACTAACACGAATAAACAATCTGGTTTGTACAGGCTGTTAGAGGTGTTACACCCCCACCTGCCTTCTCAAACACCTCCGAAGCTTGGTCTTACCTTTCTTCTGCCCCCAAACTCAAATTAGTGCAACATATTGCTCCCACACTAACGCTTCATCTATTTAGATGTTTGTTCATTTTCACTCTTATTTGTAATGGATCATATACTGTGTATGATTTGAATATTTTCAACTCTTTGCAGGGTAACATTGCGGGTGTTATCAGCACGATTCAAACCAACAAGATAACAGAAGATAGCGCACAACAAATGCAAGGATTAGCGATCCGCTGAATTTAGCTATTATTTTTTGTCATCTTTTTTGTTCGGGGCAAAGATATGCTTAGAAGAAGCACTTTTGTTTTGTCTGTCAAGTTTTCAGCCCTGTAGTTCTATGTGATAATGGTTTTCACTTTGTACTATTAAGTTGATTCCAGTATTTGGAACTAGTTAACTTTTTATCCTACAGTTTCACTTGTTAGGATATTCTCATAAGCAGAAGGAACTTCTTCTAGGGTCTATGTTGCCATTCCCTGGCTGCAAAACTGTTTATCAAAGGTTCGCATGTTTGCAATACTGTTATTGTTAGTCCCGCCAATATTGCTGTATTTATAAATAATAATTCTGGGAAATATAAGTTATCGTAATGAAACAGTAATTAATTCGAGCCCACTGAATTCACAGTGTTTCCTTAAGGAATTTAATCCCCTCCTAGTACCCAAGGTTATGGATTATTTCCTCCCAGGATAGAACGAATCACACACTGGTATAGCGGTACTTCAAACCCCAGTGTTTCAGCGAACACAAAGTTGCTTTGTTTGAAGTTAAAACAATGCAGAACAAAGGAGTAGAAACTCAGAAAATCGTATCGAAATGCTGAGAGGAGGGAGTGCAATGTATAGCCAAAGTTGAGCGTTTTCAGTTTGGTGTCTCTTTCTTCAACATCTGCTGCACATATTTATAGCAGTCAGCTTTGAAGATGAACGACCCTCCACCCTCCAT